CTCTCTCTCTCTCTCTCTCTCTCTCTCTCTCTCTCTCTCTCTCTCTTCTCTCTCTCTCTCTCTCTCTCTCTCTCTCTCTCTCTCTCTCTCTCTCTGCGAGTTCTGAATGATTGCACGCCTCACTCTCTCTCTCTCGCTCTATCGCTCTCTCTGTCTCTGTCACTCTCTCCCTGAGGCTCTCTCTCGATTTCGATTGTGTGCGCATGACGTATCCGGTCCACAGACAAATAGTTACACTTCAAGGTGGCTTTTTGTATTTTTTTTTCTCTCTCTCTCTCTCACTCATATATTTGGTTTCATCAAGAACTCAACGAACTCAGTTGTGTGTGCAAGATGTATCCGGCCCACAGGCAATGCGTGATGTTTCACTTGCAGTGCTCGATACAATTTCCTAATGGTTACCCGCCTCCTTTTGTCTGTATATCTGTATCTATGTATGCATTCATGCATGTTTAGCGAATGTCATTGGATGTATCTGCCAACCGTCAATGAGACGGTTCCTTGTCTCATAAAAACCATGCATGATGTTGCATGCAGGCAGTTGGGTGTGCGGCGGATGTATCCGATTGACAGTTCAATACGACAAGCGACTCACAACTTTGGGCCACTGGCAGGCCCTTTGCTCCTCACTATGCACAATGATGACCACGTAATATGGACTAGGTCCCTCGGAACTTAATATACATCAAAATTGGATGCTTGGTCAGGGCTTCGATTTCGATGTCGGCGGACGTATCCCACGCACAAGACTTAGTTAATATATACAAAGGGGTGTGCAAGGTGTATCTTTGGGAAAAATATTCATGGTTAGCTGTCGTACACTCTGCATTTTACTGCTCAAAAAAATCCTTCACATAGGAACGAACGGTGTGTCGGAGTGTATTAAGGGTGTGCTTGGAGTACCTTACATTTCTACGTCGTATACATCCTTCACACACATAGGTATGAAGGGTATGCTTGGACGTGTTAAGGGTGTGCTCAGAATTCCTTACATTTCTATGTCGTACACATAGACTCCATTTCTATGTCGTACACATCCTTCACTGCTTAATCAATTCGTTCATAAATAGTACACAAAATAATGTACTATTTTAACGAATAACATGTTCATTCCTCTTGAACTGCTCAATTGTTCTTCTTGACATTGAACAGCGAATTCAAAAAAAAGGCAAAGAACTCAACGATGTCGGTTTAACAGCTCCAACCCATCAAGAACACGATCTTGCAAACAAACTCGAGGCAGCCCATCCAAATACTCTATAATACCCACGTGAAATACAAGACAGCTTATTTTATGGTAAACACTCTCTCCAACAGATCCTCGAAAGAAATGTGCCCTGACTGTGACCATCGCAACAGGCGATTTATCATGAGGTTGTCACTTTCGTCCAAAATGGTTGTTCCCGTTGTAACTTTCTTGATGCCTTTGTACGTGCGGGTAAAACCTTTGCCTCAATGCGATGCTCGTACGTATTCGCTTAGACAACGTGCTCTTGCACCCAGTGGCATAGCCGCAACACAACTGGATGGGGATCGTACATTCCACTCACGATTCAAAGCCCCACTCATACCATCGGTCACTTGTACATTTGACATCCCAAAACAATCAGTATCAGCAGAACTTATTCGAATGATGGTCCTCATTATATGGGACGAAGCACCGATGTTAAACAGATACCACTTGGAAACTTTGGACCGCACTCTTCATGATTCGCGTCTGTCTCATCCTCCATTTGGCAGCAAAATGATCATTCTTAATGGCGATTAGCTTCAAATTCTACCTGTCGTTAAAAAAGGAACACAGGCAAACAATCGACACGTGCATGAAATCCTCTACTATTTGGCAACGCTTTGTTCAATCCCGCCTTACAAAAAATATGAGAGCCTTTAAAGTGGATCATTGGATACGCACAATTTCATTTCATTTTTTTTCTTTCTTTGGACGATCTCTCGATTTATGCATGTCATCCTTGCGCAGGGGCCATGCCAATCTTCTCCGTATGAAAAAAAGAACAGCGCCTTTCTCTGTATCGCTCCTATTTTAACAGATGTCCCGAAGCACAGACATGTACAATCGAATATTCTTCATTGTATGTTCGTTTGTTGATACTCGAGTTATAAAGTTTCTGCTGTGCCCACGCATTGGGTTCTCTTTCATTTGAAGCTTATGTCATTTCTCCTTTTCATCTTCCAGTGGGTACCATGACATCTTTCCATGTTATAGCGGGTCCCACTATGGTGGGGCAAGGCTTGTATCATGGTAGAGTCTTATGTCAATCACAGGCAATGTCTTTTTTTTTTTTCCCATGTCTGCCACTGCAATCGAGATGATGCTGATTTCCCATCATCGCCTTTCTTCGAACTTTTTTCCAGGGGCCTAATCCCACTTACCCAAGATCTTGATTCCTGTCTGACCCTTAAAGGCCTTAATTACGACAATCAATGGCCAGAAGTGAAGATTCCAAGCTAGTGGGACTTGGCCCCAGGTACTTCACTCTTCATGTTGTTTCTGGGTGCTTTTCTTTAGTCTGTCTGAGTTGTAACAATAAGCTGCGAATTTCCATTCTGTGCCATGTATATTGTTAAATTGAACCACCCGTACCTATCCCGGAG